GCTCCTTACAAACGTTGTGTAAAACAAAAAACTTGGCGATTAAAAAGAGTGCCGGAGAGTTTATTGCCAGTTCTTCTCTTCCGTTCTACGCCCTAGATTTGGAACTGGCAGTAAATGTAAAACTAGACGCATTTCACATATATTTCTTTTTTGACGTTCATAAGTGTACATTGTGTTACCTATATGAATGAATGATTTTGACTTTGTCTTGACTTTTGTTACTATTTCACGAAATAAGAATAACCATAGACATGTTTATGTCTGCCCAGTAGAATATAATATCTTATCTATTAATATAGGATTATTCTAAATCCCTCACAAACACGTCCCGTAAATTGACAGAATGATACGGGTAGGCTTTTACATATTAGAATAAATAAAGAGTATTTACCAAGAGTATTTACTTTAAGACCGTTTTTAATGCATTATACTTGCATGTGGATTTTATGACTAAAATTTTAAATTCTATACCTACCTTACATGAGCGATGTAAAACTTTATATGTATAAGTTGCGTAAATAGTTTTGTGTCCAGAAGATAGAAGAATATAGAATATAAGCCAGTCTATCCTAGAGTTATAAAAGTCTGACAGTAAATAGCGGCGCAATATAAAAAACTTCAATGAAAATTTGGACTCGACGTACTTACTTTTGTATCACAAAAAGCTAAGGTAATCTGAAAAAGGAATTACTTTTAGGTACTCATATGAAACATTCAAAAGTCATTATTTATAATTTAAAATTTTCGAAAGATCGTTATTCTAACGATTACGTGAACCCAATCTTTGTGGTTGATGGGACTTTGTCCCAATGATAGTAAACAAAATATTTCTTTTTTAGGATAAATCAATTTAACAGTATTTTTATGTTGACTTGTATAAACATGTAAAATATATCGGCCTTTGTATAGACACCTCCTATTAAAGAAAATTTAAAGCTATGCCTCGTTATAAATTCAATTTGATTTGCACACATTTTAAAATGAATTGTATTGTTTACAATGCGTAAATTGTTGGACGAAAGATGATTATGCATTTTATTACCAAGCAAAGAATATTAATGAAGTAGGTATCACCTCAGTAATTTCGCAATTACTTCGTTGCCATTGACGGAATGAGCCGGAATATGATTAGGGGCTTACCGATTAAATCGGTGCACGTGTAATTGGCCTACATCGATGGCCACAACTTACAGAATTCCTAAATAGGATTAATCATACTTTGAAACTTGCTTGTTCTTGTATAGATGCTAAACTTCTAACGACAGGACTTCTATTGTTGGAACTAAAACTAGAATCGGGGAGTGCAAAATGGAAATATAGTTTACGTAAATTTCGGAGGCTTTAGAAGGGTTAAATCCTCTGAGTGAATTTGCGTTGCTCAGCTTTTACTTCTCATGGGAGTAGGGTAATTATTAAATTATTTTCTAATTGACAATCATTACACTTTAAACGCTAATATATCATAATAAAAGTTTAAGGTACATGTAAATAAGCATCTAAAACACAATACTCTTTCGATTGGTTTTAACCACACTTGGTAAACATTTATACATTCTTGTATGCTTATAAATTTTCACACCTCCCATAACGCACTATCGAAGTGGTAATAATTAAAGTCATCATGATGTATGCCTACGTAAAAGCCCAAAAGGTAAAGCTATTTTATATGTTTGTATGGATCATCAAAAGAGTTGATGAGAGACAGACAAGATTATAGAAAAATATAACGACTAAAACTGCCCCTATTCCTTTTTTTCGTTGATGACGCTGAATGTTCCTTATGAACTAATAGAACTCATACAATATATATAATAAAAAAAAATAGAGAAGACGCCCACTACCACTTGGGAAGATGGAATATAAGGGATAGCGGGGCAGAATTGGAAAATTGTTGCGAGAAAAAGAGAATAGCGGAAGATTTTGAAGGAGGTCACACACTCCGTCGGAGGTCATGCACTAGTGTAAAATATAATGATATGAAGTTAGTGTAGTACTCTAATAAAGGATATTTTTATTATGGATTTCTTTGGCTTTTCAAATTCTGGAATACAGTTTAAAATTTTTGATATTGTTTAAAATATTTAGAATTTTTTACGTAATTCACATTCACACATCAAATAATTGAAATGAATATTATCGAAAGTACTTAGTACGATTCATATTAATACGCCACCGAAAATTAATCAGTCTGGTCGGTCTTCTAATAATTAGTAATTATAAATGAGTTAAAACTACGTTTGTGAATTAAATTATGGGCCAAAATTAATTCGATAAAACACATCATGTTTCTATTTATGTTGCCTGTCTATGTGTTTATGGAATTTTATGATAGCCTAAATCATAAAATACTCTGATACAATACTTTAAGTGGTGTGTATACCCCAATATTGTAGAAAAGAAGATGCAATAACTAGACTAAATTTTTTAATTAAAAATATAAAAATAACCAAACAGACTACGTAGTGTCCTAACAGAAATGGATAACTAGCTGACACTTCATTCGCGTGGAGTAGTGATATTCGGCGGCATTTTAAAGTTTTTATGCTGATTAATTTGCATAGAAAATACATACATTAGAATATGCTATATATATATATATTTAAATTTATTTCTTTGATAATAAAAACACGTGTCATTTTAATTTACAATTCGTCATTTGAGATTTCAATAAATCATTTTACATAAAATATAAAATACTAATATTACATTAATTCTCTTTACGAAATTTTAACTTTAAAAATAGAATTTCTATAAGGTAATTCGCCCTTCTCACTCTCTCTCATTCGGTCTCAATCGCTCTCTCCCTTTTCTTCGATAAAAACGCTGCACATCTTCGTGACATTCCGTAAAAATTTTACCCTCATGCGCCCAAAGAAGTGTTACTTCAAAATCTTTCTTCTATTTTTCCTAAGTTTATTATCAACATTTATGTACATAAGAGCGATAACATCGTCCCTCGAACTATTCAAACAGAAAAGTGAGGAAAGGAAGTAATCAAAACACAGTATTCAGAAATTGTGTACACAGTAATAATACTGTGTACACAATAATATGATTGTAATGAAATACTGCTCAGAGATGGATTTAGATAAGAAATGATGACGAGTGTAAACTAGTGAACTATTTTTAGTATAGTTTTAATCTTGGTCCAGTTTACTTTGCTGTCGTTAAGGTTATAAGGTGAATTATGTCAATTGCCTTTTTTAAACAAAACTACGGAATTCAGTGTATAATAAGAAAGAAGTTGTAACGCACTGCGCCAACGCAATTGTACTCTAGAATATTGTAAAGACGATTTTATTAAGATTTTCAAAGTTTTTTGTAAGAATGGATGTGGTATTCATATAAAAAATTTCGCATACGTAAGTTAAAATATATTCGGTTATACATTTCACTTCTGTGTATATTTGGAATTTTTATGAATTTTAAAAACTTTTTCTATATTTAAGTTACTACAAGTCTGATTGTAATTGGTATTTAAATAATATACGTTTTTTTATTAACTTATGCTGAAACAATCTCACGCTCTCGATAATTTAGAATGAGAGATATATTTTAATTATGTGGTGAATGTTTCTGTGCCTTTTCCGTTTTGTTTCAGTTTCATTTAGACTTAATTTATTTGGTTTTTGATTATTTTTATGTAGTTTGATCCATCCCTGTAGTAATACAAATCCTACAAATCGAGTTGCCGACCTTTCTTGTGAAAAATGCTTTCACAACAATAATAAGACTCAGTGGGTCATGAACGAGTCCCCCATTTGTATGATAAAACTGTCGTTGGCAACTTGGTGACAGCTTTACTACGTCTTAAATATTTTGGGTTTTAGATTCTGCAGAAAATTCTACACAATTTTTTTATTAGAAGCCAAAACATCCAAGAAACATATTCGACCAACTTTACAGATAAGCTGGGGATACCAATGTTATGCGAAGTGTTAAATCTTTTCGCATTGATCACAAACTATTACGATATTTATATTAAGCCCTTTTTATTTTAAAACCGCTAAACAGAGGTCTAGAAGACTTAACATATATATATATATATATATACACATAATTTTATGAAACCTTCACATTGACGTAGGTTAAAACATCAGTCGCCTTTTTCTTAGTATGAAAAACCTTTTATTACTGTCCGAATTGGATCATGTGCTTATTTAGAATCAAGAATAATAAAAAGCTGTGAAACAATAAATTCTTTCCATTACATGTTTACAAAATGTTGACTCTAAATTTCAAACAAATAATTTAAATATCCCAAATTAGTTTGGTAAGGAATGTTGGCTAGTATTGTACACAACAAATAACATAATAGAAATACCTCAAGATGCATAAAGAGAAGATAAAGGTGCATCTGCATCGCGATGTGAAGTGTGCCTAATGTACGCTGATAATATAACGACTGCGATGGTGTATTTACGATTATGATGAAACAATCGTAAATTCCAGTCAATTTTAGAAATTCGTTTCAGACTAAAGCTGAGGATATATGATATACAGATTTTAAATATTCTTCGAAGATATAGGCTTTGGCCTTACTCGGATCTAACTTAAAAGGGCGGCAACGCACGTGCAAGACTCCTGGCAATGTCAGTCCATGGGCGGAGGTATCACTTAACATCAGATGAGCCTCCTGCCCGTTTGCCTCCTATTATATAAAAAAAACTCACGCAGTCGACACAGTTTTTAAACACTGTTAAAGTAAACTGCATATCGTGTATTTCAGCTGATTATATATAACTCAATTAATTATAGGTACTCCAATATTTGATGTTTCTAAGTTTCTGCAACATGATAAAAACAAGAAGGCCAAGACTTAGGTAACTCAAATTATCATATCTTTTAGTTTAACAGATATTATTTTACTTGGGGTTCGACCGAGTGCCCCTTTATCATTCTAAAATGTTTTTGATGTTTTGATAATACGCAATTTAGGGATTGCAACTAAATAAAACACATGTAATAAAATGTGTGACGAAATTTATAAATAACAATACTCAGGGTGATTTAGTATTTTCTCCTATCCAGGAGTTGTAATTGTACGTGTTGGCGTACGTGTCAGGGAAATTATTAGCGCAGGGCCAGTTGAAGGACACGATACCGGCTGAGGTGCCGTTGCACACTAAACTGCCGCCTGAATCACCCTGAAATTTCCAATTACTAACATTGAACATTGCACGTGGATAATTTGAATAATTGAGATGTCGTTTCTGTTTGGCAGTTCATAAAAATAATAAATTGTCTGCTGCGAAGCATAAAACCAGTAAGCTATCTCTGCACCCATAGACTGTGTATATATGTGTGTCCCATAGTCGTAAACCGTTGAAAAAGATTAGTGGCAAAATGATTCTAAAATGATAAATATATACTCACTTGGCATGTTCCTTCTCCATATGTGTTAAGGGTACACATCTGCTTGGAAGTTATTTTGACTGGGGAGTTTCGTCTTAAGCGCGTACAGTCGTCGCTGTTTAATGTTTTTACATACAGATATTGCAATTTGTCAGGTGAGTTCCGCCTTTCGCCCTAAAAGTATGCAAATGACCTATGAATTCAATTTTTTTTTCATGTGTCTTTACTAAGACATCATGGAGCATTACGATCTAGCCTAACTTAAGACTAATAAGGAATTTGAGTCTACCTAATTTACTAAAAAGGATTTTTAACTTTAAAGGGATTGACTATTCCCCTGAGCACTTTGTTTTGGAATCGTTGGATTACTTGGATGTGGCTATTACTGGTACAGCCCCACAGCTGGCAACCATAAATTCATACAGGTATCAGGACTCGTTTGTAGATCAATAATTTATTTTGCACTGATAACGTAGAATGCTTAACGAGTGACCAGTACATTTTAGTGTAACGGAGATCCAACTCTTCGCGCTTCTTATTAATATGGACCTTCCATCGGAGTTTGGTATCCAGCGCCATACATAGGTACTTAGCTGAATTTTAGAACGGCATTATGACGTTATCAATATATACTGGCAGGTAATTTTATGTTTTGTTGGAAAGTTTATGTGAACTGATTTAGTCTTATCCGCCATGTTTTGGTCCAGAATCCAACAGTATTTATGGCTTTATGTAGTTTTACTACCGCTTAATTTTCGGTAGCCGCCGTAGACCTGATAGCAGTATCATCGGCAAAGGTCGCGATTATGTTATCTTCAGCTCGTTCAGAAATATCGGTTGTGTATAAGAGGTACATACACTCCCTAACGGCACCCAGCTTTTATTTCTTTCAGTTTTGAATAATCATCTTCTTGTCGTACCCTAATTCTTTGTGTTAAATATGACTCAACGATATTTGAAAATTGACGAGGCAGTAGTTTCATTAATCTATAAACAAGCCCTCGGTGCCACACTTTATCAAATGCCTGAGCAATGTCCAGAAAGAGCGTGGAGCAGACTATTTGTTCTTCTAGTGCTTTTTGCTTTTGTAATTATATGAACCTGCTCTATGGTAGAATGTTTTTCTCTGAAACCAAATTGATAATCCGCTATGAGCTGCTTTTTGGCAATAATAGAATTGAAACGTTTGAGAAAGTTTCTCAAATAGTTTTGCTATAACATGTAACAGTGAGATTGGCCTGTAAGACGTTACTTCGTCTGGTGATTTTCCTGGCTTAAGAATCATTATAACTTTCGCAACTGTCCACATATTGGGAACATATTGAAGTCGAAATGAAACATTAATTAAGGTTGTCATTTTGACTACGGCTTTACGGGGGTGATGCTGTAATACCTCACCAGTAATTAATTTCACTTAAAACTTCTTGTGGTGTGACTAGACGGATGCTTAGCTCTTCTGAATATATATCCTCGAAGTCAAGTGAATCTTCTTCATAGATTTGAAATATATCTTCTAGGTGGTCAGCAAACCTCTTAACTTTTTGTATGTTACTTGCAGCCCATTTCCCATTAGACTCTCGTAAGGGAGGAATATAATATTATGTTGTAGGTTTTTTGATATTTTTTATAACTTTTCATGTGAAGTAGTTGGTGAAACCATCAGAAGTTAATTGGTTTTGGTATCTCTTTATTGAAGTATCTTTCTGTATTTTAATCTCTCTCCTCAGTTGTTTAGTGAGGTCAGATGTTTTTTGTCTTCAGGACATCTTGTGGAATGTCACCTTTTTCTTTGAGCTCGTTTTGTCTTTATCCCATTTTTAATATCTTCTGGGAAGTAGTTGTTTTGTACCTTTTTCTTAAATTTTGGGGTATTGCTCCAAGAAGCTTATTAGATGTTCTTTGTCAATTTAATTACTTCTAATTCTAATTCTTCCTTAGTCTTTAAAGTTACTCTTAGGTCTACCATATTATTCTCAAGATAAATTTTGAAGCTGTACTTATGTACTGGTTGTACAAAACCAAAGTTGTGTTGGGGGGCAGTAGATGTTGTAAATGGACATCGCTTTATTGATAGGCTCACAGCCACAGCCTGAATATGCTCTTTTTCATATTTAAAAACCTCATGGTGTTTTGAACTGTCCTTTATTATAACTGTACTTCCCCCACTGGATTTATTATTTGGGTGAAGGGCATGGTAGGCTTTATATCCTTAAAGTCGAATGTATGACTCCCTGGTAAAATGTGTTTCCGATACCAAGCAGATGTCAATGTTTTCATGTTTTAGAATAATATGAAGTTCTCTTTGGTGTTTTAAAAGCCTATTAGCATTCCATGCCATTATTTATAAAGATATCATTGCTTAATAAGACGTTTAGAAGCTGCTATTTTGGTGCCGCTTTTTCATCAAAAGATGTCAAAAATGAAAGTATGGTGTTAATCTTTTCATCTATGCCTGTGTTAGCTTTCTCATTTTATTGTGTTAAGGATAGAGTCTTGGGGCCTTTAGTTATCTGAGTAAAGCAAATAGTTTTTAAAATTAATTTTGCTGGTTTTACAGATTTTCCCGTTTCAGTCTTTGATTTTGATTTTAAGACGTTTCTCATTTTCTGTAATTCTTTTGCTATTACACAGCCTCTGTAATAAGCTAGAAGTGACTCACCACAGTGAACACACTTCGGTTTCGAGTCTCGTGGCTTGTTACAGCTTTGCAGTAAATTTTACACACCTCGGCTCCTTGGAGCAGTATTTCTGTGTGTGCCAATCAATTTAGGCGATTTCAGTGGCCGTACAACAATTTTGCTGTCAAGTATGTAGTATTTTTTATGTTTTCCTGATGGTGGAAAGAGAGAATGAACATGTTAAGCGGTTTCTTGTTTTCCCAGCTATATTTGACGGGTGCGTCTAAAATTTTAAATCCTTGGAGAATGAGGTCTTCAACTGTCATATCAGACTTGCAAGAAGCATGCAGATTTTTTTGCCATTACTCTTATTAGCGCAGTCTGCTTGTTTTCATATGAGACCCATGAGGCATCTTCTTCTTTAAGATGTTTTGTGATACCTCTGTAGGTAGCTTCACTATTGGTGTTAATCTTCACCGATCTCTCTCTAAGCATTTTCACTGGGAAAGAGACTTTATTTAATTTGTAAAAATATTGGTATTCCAACACATTTTCTACAACAATCGGGGATGGAAGGGGTACCTTTTTGGGCTTTTCTTTGGTTACTTTATTATTAGTAACTTCTTTCATGGGGGAAGGGGAGGTGTTTAGTTTCCTTTTCTTCCTGCTTTTTTGTCGCACCTGCATTCCGATTCTTTAGCATGTTCTTCATCGTCCGTCTCATACTGCGTCAGTGTGTTCCACTTTTTCGATCACAATAATTATTAATACGCGACGTTTCTAACCGAAATGAAAACAACAACTGAACCTATAAATTCAATTGATTTAAAAACATAAGTTTGCCGGAAACATTTCTTTCTAATATCCAATGCTGCAAATCTAATATATAAAATTCTCGTGTCACAGTTTTCGTTGCCATACTCCTCCAAAACGACTCGACCGATTCTCATGAAATTTTGTGTGCATATTGGGTATGTCTGAGAATCGGACAACATCTATTTTTCATCCCCCTAACTGTTAAGGGTAGTCCACCCCTAAATATTTTTTTTTATTTTTAGATATTTTTTTATGATACAACATTAAAAAATACATACAAACCCCTAACTTTCACCCCTCTACGATCAACCCCTATTTTTTTATTATAAATTATATATATGGCAAAACGACGTTTGCCCGGTCAGCTAGTATTATATATATCCGCAAAATTGTTTACTCACAAGTTTACCCCAGCCGCTCAGTATACACGACAATCCAGACTTGATATCCTTTGTGGGTAATGGCAGGGGCTGAACTTTTTATTGAATTCTATGGTCTTTTTCGTACTTATAACAGCAATATCGTTGCCGAATCTATTTGGCTTGTTATGTTCTTCGTGAGCAATGACTTTGCTTATTTCATACGTTGTACCACCTTTCGTTCTCGATAATGTACCAACTACAGCGGTAAATTCGGATGGTTTAAGACTGAAAAAAATGAAAACTGTATTAAATATAATTTCAAACGGTCAGACAAAAAACGGCAGCCCTTCACTTTTATTATTATACCTTAAGACACAATGGGCAGCTGTCAGTATCCATCTGTCGGAGATGACAGCAGCACCGCAGAAAGTCCAGCCGTCTTTTGTTGTTTTCAGAGCGACTTGGTGTGGCACAAGTCCTTCGGGTGCGTCTTTGCCACCCACCACTCGGGTCTCGGGCTCTTGCCCTCCAGTCTTAGAGGCGAGAGCTTCAGCATCGCCTACAATAAACGGCACTGTACTTAATAAGTAATTAAACAAAAAAAGGATATAATTAATAATAAAATAAAAACACTTACCCTGCACGCTCCATGCTACTAACAGTAAAATAAAGGATATCTTTGAGACGTCCATCATTATTTACAGTTCTGTAGTAAATGTACATATTCATATAATGCCTTTCTTTTTATACACCCAATGTTATCTATTTTAGGAATAAATTGTTAAAAATTCGTCTTTTAATGACAAATACCAAAAAACTATAATTAAAGAAAAACTGTTTGACCGGATTGAAGTTATGTATTATTATAAATTTACAACTATTTAACATAATTTTAAATTTATCCGACGTTTCGCGTGCTTTACAGCGTGCGTGGTCACGGTCACTATAACATATACACTATTTATAATAATACATAACTTCAATCCGGTCAAACAGTTTTTTCTTTAAATGTGTAAAGGTTATGTAAATCAAAGACAAAACTATAATTAATTTTTAATTTCTTTTCTCATCGACTGACATACGGGTGACTTTAATTATTATCATATATAATATTTATATACATACAGCGTCCTAGCAATATGATAGTGTTTTAACATTAATCCTATAGTTTTGAAACAAGAAAAAACAATAATAGTACAAGACATAATATAAAAAATATCTAAATTAACTTCTTTTCGTTTCTCCAAATTGACTAACGAAAGAAGGTCTTTAACAAGTATCATTTCAGAGGATTACTGGTTTTCTTTTGAATGCGTACTTAATCTTTCGTATTACGTATTCAAACGAGATTCAAACTCAAACTCAAAAACTTTATTCATATAGGTAAACAAGTACACTTATGAATTGTCAAGTTAAATTAATTGTAAATTTACATTTACTATCAACAGTTCGCAAGTCAAGGGCGTAGAGCGGGCAAAAAAGAACTGGTAAGAAACATTCCGCCACTATTTTAATCGCTTAGTTTTGAGATCAAACAATTTGACATATTCCCTAAATTCCACACTAGTGTTATATTGCTTTTCATCATACATTTCATACAATTTGAACCTTTTTCTGTGTAACTCCTCATTTGCCCAGTCACAGAAACATGTTTTCTGAGACCAATAAAGTCTTTTGAGTAAATACTTTCGATCGATTGTTGATAGGGCTCTCAAAATGGGAAAATGTATGTACAGGCTTAATAGGCGTATAGGGTATTTTTGCAAGAGAACCACAACCGGACATGAACTGGGACGTCACATGCAGTCACGAGTTTGTATGTATGTGAAGTCTCACTGTACCGACATTTTTGTTGTTAGAATAAAGTTAGATTAGAGTATTGGTATATTATACTCACACCAATATTCAAGATATTTCCAAAGCTAAACTTTTTGAGTAGAACTCAACTTGCAAATATTATAAAGAAAAAAATAGAACCATTATTGTTATATTATTAAGGTATGTATAATCATTTGCTGATTGACTCTTAATTATTATACTGAAATCTTTTGTAGGTTACTATTTACATGGATTAGATATAGATATTGACCATGTATTAAAGGTTACCTGTATAATGTGTAAGAGCTACTACCTCTTTTATAATCAATTTCCTACTCCGACTAGACCATCCCACTTTAGAGAGATTTCGAGTCAATTCGTAACAATTTGTAAACAACCGAACGAGTCAAATAATCAACTATCGCACATGCGCACTTATAGCAAGATTCTTACGAATATGTTTCATAAAAAATGTTTAGAATTTAATTAAATAAATATTAAAAGCTTCAATGTTTCAGATTTAATCTCATTGATCAAACTGAAAATTACCAAACCACTACGAACACCACCTCAGCAGTAGTAGACTGTAGAACAAACCGATTGCGGAACTAAAACGGAATACCAAATGATGAGGTCAGTGATTCCACCGAAGTAGTGTAACTGACAACTCATTTGTGCTTTGAATATTCCCATATCGCAATTAGATATTATTTTTTATAAGTCTATAAGGTTATACTATACAAATTCTAGCTTGTTTTGCATTTCGTCGTCTTGTTAAGCAGTAGTAGTTGTACTCTCAGTCGGTTTCGAGTGGTTACACGATGAATGTAGAATCTGAAGGTATGTGTTTCATGGCTACCACTACCACTATCAGTTGAAAGTGTTTGTGAATATAATTTGAATCACCCTAAAACTTGCATGAACTAGGTACATATATTAATTTCGCTTTAATAGACCTTTACGTTAACAATGTAGGTAATAATCATATATTCATATTCATTGAGCAGTAAATCAATCCCATAAAACATCATATTAGACATGTCAAGGACTCGATTTCAATGTCCACACTATCAAAACATTTATAAATATATATTCTATCATATTCCTTATATTGAAATGTCGAGGTAACTATTAGACATCTTTACTCTTCAACGTCTCGATTTGTTCTGCTCATATATTAATATGTATGGATGTCGGTGATGTTAGGTAGTGGGAACTTATCATCAACTATTACATACGTCATTGAGTTTTCTATAGTCTACTACTAAACGCCACTTTTTAAAGCCTTCAGACTTTTTGGGAACGAGCAACACAGGACTGTTTTATTTTCTTGAGGACTCCTCTATTATATCATCCTTCAATATTTGCTTATTTTTTTTTACATTCAGTAACATTCGTTATTATGTGTTGCTAGTATATTGAGAACATCAAGAATAAATGGTAATATTATTATTTCCGCGGGTGTGGAACAAAGGCCATGTACTAGCTAGGTAATGTCTCTAAAATTTTAATTGAACAGGAAATATAATTGATTTAAAATCATTACCAAAGATTTTAACATATAATTTTAATACAGCGGTTGAGGGTAGGGAACATACACGAATCGATTGTGCTCTGAATTAAATTCCTAAAAATAGATTTAATTCAAGTGTTACATGTCGTTAAATGTGCGAGAAAAAGATTTACGCAATGGTGTGTACAAATAGTTGTGAAAAATTAAAAAGTGATAGTGAAGAAGAGGCAAAAACAGACACAAAAATAGTTTTTCAACTTTTATTTGAAAACTTAATATTAAAATTACTGTATTACCTAAATAAAAGGCTTTATTATCTTGTTATTTATATTAATTAAAGTCACACGTGGCATATCCACGTTTTATCAAATATGCAAATTCTTAATTAGAAAACGTTGACGTCATAGTTTCAATGTCAAATAACAATAAAATGGTTAGAATATGTATTTTTTATTCTAATTGCTTAGTAATAATTAATTTTGATGAGGTTATCGTTTTCCATTATCAGGTGAAATTTAGTTATTGTACTAATTCTAAAAAAAATAATAAAAGAAAGATATAAAGAAATGTTTATACATGTTTATTCACCTCAGAAGTATCATTGACGATGGGCGTCTCAAAGACACAAATGTCACAGTCACATATATTTTCCATGATCAAACAGTTGGTATTATAAAAAGAAACTGGAATAATTATTTAAAAAAACTACTATTCTATTTTTTTAAGTTTTAAATAACTAAACCTTTCTCAGTTATTACAAGACTGATTGTAATAGTATAAGTTAATAATGTAAGTTTGTTTGTAATCTTAAAGATTAATATAGGTTTTGGCCTTGCTTAGAACTAGCTTGAAATGCCGGCAACGCACTAGCGAGCCTCCTGGCAATGTAAGTCAATGGGCGGCGGCGCGGTATCACTTAACATCGGGTGAGCCGCCTGCCCGTTTGCCTCATTTTATATATAAAAAACTCAGTCTTGAATAATGAGTGTCGATGTATTTATAAGTTTATTCTATATTTGTGCAATTATTGAAGTGAAAACTTCTTTAGCGGTGTTGTACACATGTTAAACTCGCGTCAGGACAAATTCGTAAGACGGATGTTTTTTTAAAGGATTATGAACCTTCGTGCTATACAGTTACGGTTTTAATACATTTGTCTCTTTCCTCAGATACATTGATGCATGTGGAATTGGACCTTAAGTTAATACATCAAGGTTTAATTTTGCGAAACGTCTAAAGCTTTATTATTAACGATTTGGTCAGACTGACGCGAATAAAAAATGGCAACTTAAAAAGTAGTAAATTTTCCTAATTTTAATTATTTAATACTAATTTTAATTATTTTGTGTAGGTTTCGTAAGACGGATGGAGAGTAGACAGCTGGCGCGGCGTATTTAATGTAATATAAATTGACATGTTTGTGTACGATAGCGTAATAAATAAATATTGTATTCTACCACATAACAGATAGTACTGTTATACTGATAATTAAAGCAATTCGTGCAAAGTTATTCCCTAACCATTCCAAAATATCAAAAATGCACAACGTTAATATTCAAGTTTTCACTTCTTCCGGCACTCCCGGAGTGCAACCCGTCGTTTTTTTTATTTTAATATGACATTAAATGTTAATAATTAATAATTATTGCAAATTAGGTGTGAAAGAATATAAAACTGCAGTCAAAAGACTTATAGAATTATATATTATATAGAAATCATTAATACATCTAAATACTTAATATGTACAATCTCAATTTTGTTCATTCTTAAAGAATGCCTTTAAAATTTTCTACATAATTCTTTTTGTTCATAAAGACTATACAAGATAAAGGCTCCTAACTAATAAATACTTTGAGTAAAAAATAACTAAATAAGTGACTTTTTTCAAGATACAGATTTGATAGATTCTTTATTTTAGTTTAGCAAACACAAAATAAACATTAACTTTAAGATATTGAGACAACTATTAATATAACTATGCCTAGTTCAATTCTTATCAAATACATTATATTAATTTAAATCATCTTACAGTGGTCTTTATCTTGTGAAATGAGGTTATTATGCTTTTTTTGGTTGACATTGTTTCTTAATATATACCATATTAATTCAGGTCTCGGAAAATACTATATCGCTGAGACAAGTAATAAAAAACAAATACAATATAATCGTTTAGATGTCGACCTCTTAAATTATTTAATCAGCAAATCGATACTTCTTGTGCTCGTAAGCCCTCCAGGCACCGTTGGATCTTGGGTCCTTGCTGCGGTCGTGTGTGTGAGGGCTCCGCCCCGTAGTAACTATTGCGACGCGGGCGCTCCGTACGAGATCGCCTCTCGTGACTATGGGAGCGCACGCGAACTAGTTGGGTACCTAGAGGTTAGTTTATCATTAAAAATATTACCTGACTAACAAAATAATTGTTTATTCATAAAGGCACAATGCTAATAACCGAGATTATTGTCATCTATCTCAGTGACCTCAAGGTTTGTATATCTATTTCGTACAGTGGTCTCATTATGTACGATATTAAATTAAGAATGATTTTTATTTCCATTGATTAGACCGATCTTCAACTCCAGCATTTCGAGTTGTCTACAATTTGAGGATTTCAATACACAACAAGTATAGAGTTGAAAAGGGTTTTTCGCGGACTCATGCGACTTCTTCAACGCAAAGAGTCCCCTTGTGTATTGCGGGCTACTCGATTGTGAAGAAGTTCCATGGTTCTGGTTATCGCTGCGCCCTCTTAAGTTCTCATTTCATTTGTATAGAAAGGATATATTCTATAACATATTTTCATAAGTTCTTGATTTTCCTCATTTTAACATGTGAAGGAATAAAAAAGATTTGTTAGTGAAAGAGGTCAAGAAATATAACGAAAAATATTGTACCTTCCGAAGTTTGATTAACCACAGTCTCACGGACACTGGAGGTGTCTCTATAACGGCTCTTCTTGCGTCGATCCTTGCGACAGCATAGAGTCTCTTTAAACGCAATCCGATATCTGAAACATCTCAGTTGGTTGTCAAAGAGGAATTGAGAACCTTCTTTTTCTAAGTGGATAAAAATATTGCGTCGGCTTTATAAACGATATAGCGTTAACCAAATGTGTGGACGGTGAAATGGTATTTACATAAGTACGTACATTTTAGCGTCTTTTTTACCGAATTCAAGAAACCCTAAGGAGGAGGATTTTCTTCTTCTTATACTGCCAACTCCTTTCGACGGTTGACGATCATCATGCCTTTTTTTTGTATCATGTCATTCTGAACAATGATTGTCTTAGATTCCTGACATTGTGAGGCAACCTTGCCTTAGACCAAAAAAGTCGCTGGTGACGCTGATCACCTTCTTGCCTATAAGATTGACAAATGATCAAAACAGGTTCAGATATCGGTTGTTGTGTTTGGCAAGCTTAATCATTCCATTATTCCAAACACAATAAAGTATAAAGTCATCAACAAAAGAGTAATTAAAATATTATTATGAAATTGTGGGGAATTCATTTGAAGCCCTATCATGCTAAAACATTAATCATTGTCTGGAGTAAATCGAACAAACTTGATATTAATTAATTGTTGGTTAACTTTATAATAAATATAAATTCCTTAATGTTATGATGAAGATACAGGCACATTAAGCATTAACAATTGATGTGGCCAGCCCGTTGCAGGGACAAATAAATGTATGTTTTTTTTATTTATTTGAACGTTCGTATTTATTTGTGATAAGGAATCGGGTTCGAAAACCTGTCAAAAACACATAAATAGTAACTTCCTATCCAACAGCCTTTGAGAGTTCATAACAACAATTAGATTTAAATCTTCCGACGCCAACTCACACTCTGCTTGTGTTAGACAAGATTTAAAAGAGAGTACATACCTATGACTCATAATATTGTAGAGAATAGGGTTGACAGTAGCAGATATGTAGTAGAATACTCCAGCAACCAGGAATAGATACTCGTTAACAGTGTGGTATTGCGCCGCGCTGCTGCCGTAGATGAAGAACAGACGCTGTAAGTGGAATGGGGCCCAGCACACGAAGAAAGCTATCACTACGGCCGCTAAAATCGATAAACATTTTATTTATATTTACTTTTCATGTTAGAATATAGATCAGAATGAGGAAATAAGCTTTGTAACTCCAAAATGCTTTTGTCATACAGCCATACTCAGAGTAGTTCATTACATTCAAAATTCAAAATTCATTTATTCACGTAGGTAACACAATGTACACTTGTGATTCGTCATTAAAGAAATACATATTAATGCTTCTAATTTTACATTTACTGCCAGTTCTCAAATCAAGGACGTAGAACGGAAGAGAAGAACTGGCAATAAACTCTCCGCCACTCTTTTTAATCGCCATGTTTTTTTACACAACGTTTGTAAGGAGCTGCAACCATTACACCATCTTCCACATGACATCTTAAGTAATTAATAATAATAACATAAATTAAAAACAAAGACTTGTCCTCTATAAGCAGGAGGCATGGTGAAATAGGAGCACGCACTTACATTCTCGTAGGAACAACACGCAAACACATAGTCGAAATAATTAACATCACCGCATACACGAATTCAAGTACGACCAGTCACCACAAGTAGCACCCGTTCACGAGTATGACGCATGGCCAGCCATCGGCCCCCTCGCCATATTTTAGGGAGAGAGACAACCCGACGCATGGACGCCGCCACAAGCAATGACATTTAAGCGAGCATGACGATACTTGAAATGTGGACTTGGCTACACATTTCAAGGATCAGGACATAATAAAATAACATCTATAATCTTTTAAATGTCTAATTACAATTAAGATTTATTGGACAGCCGAAATCGATGTGTTGTGAACAAAGGAACTCAGTTACAAATTTCCGGTCGTGTTTTGGTGCCTTATCAACGATTGGGATAATTACTACTCGTTGGCCAAAATCTTGGCCCTTAACTCTTGAAGAAAGACTCAAAAAATATCACGTAGCAAACTCTACGGTTTTATTTGCTCTAAGATATATAATATGGCCTTTATCTAACATCATCTTCAAGCGAATCTCATAAATATTAAACGCGCCAACAGGATAACTTTATTTTAGATTCTTCCGATAAAAATAGAAGTCCTTCATAAGATAAGCTTTCCTAGTTGTATATGTCAACGTAAAATTGTAAAAACCGTTAGATTGTAATCTATCTCGCGAGATTGTAAACTGTCGAAAAATTGTGAACTCAACGTATTGCTTACAATTTGACGTATTATTATTCGGTAGATTATAATCTATCGAAGTGAAATCGTCAAATTGTGAAACGGTACGCACCTTGCGCGCTGATTGGTTGAACGGAATATGCCACGCGCTGATTGGTATTGGAATATGCCATGGTGGCGACCATATTTGTTTGTTAATTCGTTTGTTGTCGAATGTAAACAAACGGTGTTTTGGTGAATGTAAATTGATGTCGTCTTGAAAGTAACTCACAGCTTTAGGATGTTGAAAGTGAACGTGAAAAGTTATATGAAAATGTTGTGGAAGTAAAATTAATCTGTGATTGACCAAAGAAGTGCAGTTTGAATGATAATTAAGTTAGTGTTGGTCTCCAAACATAGTCTAAATTACATACATTTTCCGTGTTTTAATATTTTTTATTCGCGTGAACCTTTGTGATCTCGTATTTACAATGTCGGATATTGAGCCTGTCGATCAACAAAACTCAGAAATATTAGGTATTGTTAATAAGGAAGAATTTACCATAGAGTTACAAAACTATTACAGCGGGCATAATGAAAATAGTAAAAAATTTAATTGCAAAAAAATAAAAAGAAAGCTAATGTTCTTTGTAACTCCAGGTGCCACAACTTTTTAAATTTTGATTTTATTTTGTGATCGTTTTTTTCTAAAAGAAAATTTCATTAATTTTAATTTGTGTTTGAAGAGAAAATATTGTTACGTTTCTGATTTTTTATTTTGATATATTTTTTTTTTCATCATGTATTGTCAGAATTACTGATATAATAAAAACGAATTTTTGAAGTGCATTCATTTTATTTGACCGATACCCTTGTTTCATTCCTAACTCTATGGACATAATATAACGGTCTACTATAAAGCCGACCAATCAGCGTGCGAGGTGCGTACCGTATCACAATTTGACGATTTTACTTCGATAGATTATAATCTACCGAATAATAATACGTTAAATTGTAAGCAGTACGTTGAGTTCACAATCTTTCGACAGTTTATAATCTCGCGAGATAGATTACAATCTAACGGTGTTTACAATTTTACGTTAACATATATAAATTAAAGTGGAATGTTATCTAAGTAATTTCATTTTTTTTATTTATATTTAAACTTTAGTTCGCGAATAATATGATCTGATTTACAAAAAAAACATAGGCATAACATTTATTACAAACTAAACACACAAAATAACAATAAACAAAGAAAATATAAATAAAATAAGAGATATCAAAAACAATAAAAAAAAACCCTTTTCCCATTCGGTCCGTTCCAAGTGCGTAATGCGTGTGTGCTGTACACACGCATAACTATAATTGGCCCTAGCTGAGCATTATGCTGAGGAGCAGAATGTTCCACAGCGCTCAGTCGCGCCTCAGTCGCAAAAAACGAAAGAATGTAAAAAAAAAAGTTAGTAGTATGTAGATTGATAGATAAATTGTTTCAGTACATTTCTATTACAATTTTAATTATTTATATGCAAATTTCATTTTGTTATTAAACTTTACAACGATAAGAAAATAATTATATTTTTTGGGTCGTTATATAATTACCAAGCATTCGAATAATGTTCTTCCTAGACTGCGCCTGCCTCGCTTGGCCGTGAACGCTTCCATTTACTCCATTTAAAGTACCCGGGCTGCCAGGGTTTTGGCTGTGTGTAGACCTGCAAAATCACTGATAGTAGTTATATACCATCAACAGAGTACAGGGCTATTCCACTATACAACTCCAGTAAACATTTTGTGGTTTCGCCATGAGTTATATAAATAAATGATAAATTCGTTACTTTAGTCAGTTAACTCAATGTTAAATTTAAATATCTTTAAAATATTTATAAAATAAAATGATTCAGACACTTTCAAAAAAGCTGAGTTTGCTGAATTCGTTAAAAGCCGTATAATCAGGCTTAGTCGGCGATTGTCTGCGAGACATCATTCGTAACTTTTCATTCCATGGCTAATTAGTGACTCGACGAATAATAGAAATCAAAACTGTTTTATATGCATATCAAAGTAACAATGATAACATTATAGAAGGCAGTTAACATCTATTTGCGATTGTACATAATATTATGAGAAAATTAAAAGGAAATTACACCTACAAGGACAATTTTCTATTATTTTGTAATAATACAAATTATATCAAGACATCGAACAATCTAATACAATGATTATTTGTAGTTAGTATACATATCAATTACATTTGCAATATCAGCCCTGCGATTCTGTAACTCACTTTTCGAACTCACACAGCGGTTTTTTCGAACTTACGACTGATTTGAGCGCGACCGCCGCTGTGAAAACCTCTGTGTGAGTTCGAAAAGTGAGTTACAGAATCGCAGGGCAGATGAAGATCGTAATATCTAGTTACAGTCGTTGACCTTACTAATTGCAATTATTACAATTGTATTATTACTTGACTGTGTTGAAAAATGATGAGAGTAAATTTTTATTGCGCATTTTCGATGCGCGCGCACACCGTCACATAGTCAACATTTTTTTTTATACAACTAGCATCTTAGTATTGGTACGATATTTAGACAATGTTTCTTCTACTAACTTAATACTATTATTTATTACTAGAATACAAATTTTGAAAAGATTTTTATCTTGTTGAGCCAAAGTAGTATAACTTCTAACGCGCGTATATAAGTACACACACCTTTTTTATTTTAGAAATAGTCTTAAATTAAATTACGTGATATGAAACTGTAGTATGATACTAAGTAATTATTCAATAATATATATATAAAACTCGAAAATGTAAAAGGCTCTACATCCCAGTCACGTCCATCTGATTTTTTTTTTTTTTTTTATGTAATAGGAGGCAAACGGGCAGGAGGCTCACCTGATGTTAAGTGATACCGCCGCCCATGGACACTCACAATGCCAGAAGGCTCGCAAGTGCGTTGCCGGCCTTTCAGGAATTGGTACGCTCTTTTCTTGAAGGACCCTAAGTCGAATTGGTTCGGAAATACTTCTGTGGGCAGCTGGTTCCACATAGTGGTGGTGCGCGGCAAAAACTGCCTTAGAAAACGCTCTGTTGTGGAACGACGGACGTCGAGGTGATACGGATGGTATTTTGTATTTTGCCTTGACGTCCGATGATTAAACTCAGCTGCAGGTATTAGACCGAACAACTCCTCTGAACACTCTCCATGGTAAATGCGGTAGAAGATGCAGAGAGATCCCACATCTCTACGCAACGCCAAGGGATCAAGCCGCACGGAAAGTGACTGGTCGTCGACGATTCGAACCGCTCTTCGTTGAATACGGTCAAGTGGAAGGAGCTGGTACTGGGGAGCTCCCGCCCAGAGGTGAGAGCAGTACTCCATATGGGGCCGAATTTGCGCTTTATATAGTTGCAAGCGGTGGCCCGGAGTGAAGTACCGTCTCGCCTTGCTGAGCACACCAAGCTTTTTGGAGGCTAATTTAGCCTTTCCTTCCAGATGACCGCGAAACTGAACGTTATTCGATATGTCAACGCCCAGTATTCCGATGCTAGCTGAGGCTTTAAGGAGAGTGTCTTCAAAGAGGAGAGTAGCGACAAAGGGAGTTTTTTTAGCGGAAAACGTGCATACTTGTGTCTTCTTGGGGTTAAATTGGACTAGATTTAGTCTACCCCAGTCCGAGACTCCACGTAGAAGAGTTTCGACTTCAGACACAAGTTTGTTCCGGTACTCATCGACAACAGCCCGAGAAATACCTGCCCGGCCAGTGTAAAAAGTATCCTCAGTGCTGTCGTCCGCATAGCAATGAATGTTGCTAAGCTGCAACATATCATTGATATGCAGAATAAACAGGGTCGGGGATAGGACACAGCCTTGTGGGACACCAGCATTCACAGGTTTCAGGTCGGAGCATGCTCCGTCGATGACGCCTTTGATGCTCCGATCAGCGAGAAAGCTGGAAATCCAGTTGCATAATTTCTCAGGGAGCCCATAGGCTGGAAGCTTCGAGAGCAGTGCTCTGTGCCACACCCGATCGAAGGCTTTCGCTATGTCCAAACTTACCGCCAGCGCCTCACCCTTGGACTCAATTGCCTCTGCCCACCTATGTGTAAGGTATACAAGGAGGTCACCAGCCGAGCGACCACGACGGAAGCCGTACTGAGAATCGCTAATCAGCTGGTGGCCCTCTAGATACCTCAAGAGCTGGCTGTTAATAATGATGCCACTCGATACGTAATCCATCAAATGTTTATAGGATCAAAGCTCCAAATTAATTAACATCTAAGCTTTTGGTTTTTTGATGTTACCTTTAATGTAATTAATCAGTTTTTCATTTGATATTAACCCGTTAGATTTATGCTAGCCATTGTTATTATTAATTTATTATTAACTAGGTTTAGCCTGCAGTTTCCGTCGTCACATTTGGAGAGTACTACATTATTCGATCATTATTAAAGGTACGATATGGACTTTAGTTCAATTTTGATAAAAGTTAAATAAGAAAAAACGTACGTTCCGCGACCGAAGTCGAAACGGCTTCACAGTCGAACAGCAGTCGTAGGAACGAGTGTCAAAGAATTGTTTCAATATTAATTGTCTTCAAGCTTCAATAATAATAATGACTATAAGGTCCACATGAAGAGTACGCGCAATAGCGTGTAATTTGGCACTTGGATTTAATAACTTTGCTAAAAATATTTCTATATTATCGTATATTGATCGTCTACTGCATTACAACTTAAAGCCACATCACGGTCGTAGACATCTGCTGGTTGTCTGATTCTTTATAATATATGCAACAATACGCCGAATCACCTTGTCGATTGAACATTTCTGTTCCGAGAGGTTTACACGTTGCAAAAAGCGGACACATTTTTAATCTCCACTAAGTTAGGGTTTTACTAAACAGAATGAATAGAATGTGAAATTCTACAAAGTATTTAGTATCTATCTATCTATCTACAGCAGATATCTGCTGCAAGGCCCGAACGATCTTGATATTTTTTCGGACCGCCCTTCCGATTATAGGAAAGTCACACACTTAGAGATTCCTTTGCTATATTTTGTAATTTTAGTTTTTTATGTAGGAAAAATGTATGATTTTTGTATTATTTATTTATGTAAACTTATTTATTATAATAATTACATATATTATGTGCATTATGTTTAGGCACGCAGTCTGCACCTATTATCTAGGCCACGCATTGGTTCTGTCGTTTGTATAACTTGATTCCTTTCCCTTTTTTTCTTATGTGGCCTTGTTGGTGGGGCTATAAATGACTATGACTAACTATTATTAAAGATTATTAACTACATATCTAGCAATATTGGCAGATAAATTAAACTTTACTAACGTTTTTCAGCTGATTTGACTTTGATGTTGTTAATTTTGTCAAGGGACAATCCTTCTTGGAATAGAATGGTTTTGTGTGCAGCTGTCCTTGATTGAACCAGACAAGGTCAGCTGGGTGTGGTTGTAGGCTCAGGCTCAAATGGCCAAATTAGTAAATAAAGGGTGAAATCAAAATGAATTAGCTAATTGAACAGAAACAACTCCTAGCTGAATCCACGTGAGTAAACAAACGAATAGCGCCGTGTAAGGCAGTGTTAGCGCTCCGGCCGCCTGTACTCGATATTACGACCATCATCCCTGCCAATAGTAAAGATGTCAACATAATGGGTATGTGCAATCAGCCTATGCTAAGGCTATGACCGAATCTGTTCTGTGGTGCTGTCATGTGGAATGGCTTCCCATTGGAAGCATCTACTCATATTCAGCCTAGAGCTTCTGCCGGACTTCTAGCTCTAGAATATGGTGACGTTTTAGTCGTCTCACATACTGTTTTATGGTGAGTTGGCGAGCAAGTTCGTTCGGGCGACAGGTTAACCGCTCTTTGTATTTAGCTGCCAGTCTCCGGATTTCCTCTTTGATAGTTCTCATTTTAAGGTGTTCGTGAACTTCGTATTTGGTTATGTAACAAGGTACTTTTGCAATTGCTCTTAGGATCTTGTTCTGTTGTCGCTGGAGTATAATTATGTTGGTATCACTTGCGCTGCCCCACAGTTGGAGGCCTTATCTCCAAATGGGCTTTAGGATGACTTTACATATAGTATAGGCTGTTGTACTTTAGCTGTAGCTCCTGTTTTTTTACATTTGATGTGGTGCCTCCACGTTAATTCACGAACAATGTGTAAGCTAAGATATCCTTACATGGTCGCTGTGGAGCAGAATACATTGGTCCAACTTTACAGGTGGGAAGTCTCCTCTTCTAATTGTGAAGTTCACGTGTACTGACTTCGCGGTACTAGCTTTTATTTTCCATTTTTGTAGCCATTCGTTAACTTTGTCAAGGCCCTTCTGCTAGTCTTCTGATGCAAGTCTTGGGACTTTATTGTTTGAAAATACCTAAATACATAGTCAGTAATGTAATCTTAATTAGTTTTTTTATTAATGGCAGTACCGCGTAGATTATTTAAATGAATAATAGAAAACAATTTACTGTAAGTGTCTTTATTCATGAACTATAGATTTATCGGTAAAATGAAATATGAACGTACAGAGGCATATTGTAAGGCCACATATTTAATGTAAGACTTAAAACAACATTGTAAATACTCCTTAGATTCTTGAAGCACCCGACTCCCTTTACAAGTACTAAATTAACTTTCCTTTGTCATTTAAATGTCAGGCATTACAACGAATTACATTCCCCCAGTAATTTCCATATCATATTTATTTTTCAATCTTACGCCTTACCAACTTACTTTATACTGTATTCTTATATTATGGTACAAGGAGCATGTGCAGTTGTTTAGTTAGGGGTGTATAATTGGGTTTATGATGCCAAAAGCTGAGTTTTCCTGTTTTTGCAATCAAATATCTGTTGTTTTAATTATACTCTACTTCACCAAAACACATCTTGGCCATTAGATTACTAATGAAACCCAACAAGTGATCCGCGACAAAATAGATTTCCATTACACGTGACGTTGATACATGCCTTTCAATGTAACGGCTCATTGAAACGATTGAGAATTTAACGTTTTTGTAACGACTCAAATAAATAAATTGGTTGGATATGAAAGTGCTTGGCGTAGGCGTTGTCAGTAATTGAGCGCTGTAGCACTTTGCTACGCTTTAGTCAGATCCCGTAGCATATAACGTATTCTACAAATGTTATGTAATGTCATTTAGATTATATATAAATTAAATATATAAACATCATAAACATGGGTCCTTTCACCAATAAGTTTTAATATATATTATGTTGCATATTTTATAGCTAATGAAACAAACAAGATAATAAAGTATTTAAATAATGCTCCACCCTAGCTGAACAAAAATCTACCCGAAGGATTCCTCCTCTAACTAAGCCCCTGTGAGCCAAGGAAGGGTCTTTCTTTTAATTTACAGTATTTTTTTTAAATGATATTGTTTTTTCAAAGTCGTTAACATTTTATTAACTTTAGATACTTCGGCATCGGTTAATAAAAGTAACAGTTTTGTCTGTTTATCGGTTTTTATAAAATTGGGTAGTTGAATCTCAATAAAAACCACAAAATTAAAATAATATGTGAAGATTTTCTCGTCTAAAAATATCACAATATGCGAAATATACAAGTTTTTTTACAAATAATTCCAGAAGTTACGATGTAGGTATGGAATACATACCTAATGCGCAAGCCCATTCGCACGTACAGACAGAGGATGATGAGGCCGGGCAGGATGAAGAAGAAGAAGCTACTCAGCTCGCAAATGTACCACGAAGGCAGCTCCAGCATGGCGCAGAACGCAGACTCCAAAGATCTATTTCCAGATTCTATAAAGGAAAATATAATAAGAGAACGTAACAGTTTCCTTTGTCCTTATTAGAAAATGTAATCATTTCTTAATTATTTTGTACAACGAAAATTACTTCAATTAGAAATAATTACTTACTAATTGAGTCAAATGATCAGCTCCCTTCGCTAGGGTTCATAAAAGCGAGCAGCTCGGTATATCAGTGAAATGAAAAAATATTATACGCCTTAAATGACAGTTGAGAAATTCCATTAAAGTAAACACGATAAAAAAAATGAAAAATTGTCGTATAAATAACGAGGATTTTTTAATATTGTTTTACTTGATCAAGAAATGTTAATAAAACGGAAAGTTTTATCAATTCCATTAGAATTCGATTATTATAATAAATTAATTTCTTTAACTTTTTAATTACACTTATAATGACATCATTCTATCAATGTCACAGTATTATTGCTTTTTGTTAATTTGTAAATAGTTGAAATATTTGTTTGCACTGTACAAGTAGCTGCATTATGCTCCTTAGGTATGATGTTATTACACGTTATTATTTTGCCAGAACATCTTACGAAAGAGATCGATTGTTAAATAGCTTTGTCATTGAGAGGAAATGTTATTCTGATTGATATTTTTTACGCCTTTACATCATATATAGTCGATCAAACATCAGCGTGCGCTAATATGATAAACTTCCTGATGGAATTGATATTGACAATACTCGGACACATACAGATATACCATCTATATAATACACTCTTCATATATAACCTGGATAAAGATTAGCTCCAATCCCAGTTTTACAGGTTTAAAAAATGACAAATAAAATAATAAGTGACTCAGCTGGTAGATTTATACCCTAAGTAAATCATGCGTCTTAATATTTTTAACAAAATTAGAATTGCTGTTTTCGTGCAAGCATATATCACATGTTTCATTACTGTCTTTTCGACGCAAAGATGCCTTTGCCCATCTGTCCTTTTACAACGGATTATTTATAGATTAAATGCAATTCTTGCGCCGTAATCATCAAAACCCTGTAAGCTCTTTTTAATGTCAAATAAGCGTGTTGACCATTTATATATCTTTAGATTACACGATACCAACCAGTCAATCTATTTCCAACATTGCATTATGTTAATAATAGCTCTTTTTCTCAATGTCTTAGATAGAACTACTTTCAAAGAACTCTTCAGTTTTATACTTATATACATTTTGTATTATATACAGTCTCATAGATAAGTTTCACTCGATTAAACGTTACATTTATTTACTGTCGACTAAGACCAATGGTATGTACCTAGTCCAGCCATAAGTTCTGTTGCAAATGAAAATGCATTTTTTTTAATGTTTAGTGTTATATTATTAAAATTTATACCTACATATTTATATAAAACCTTTGGCTTTTATACAGGCCTTTAATCTGTTTGACCACGAATCTATGGATTTACGCACTGTTTCCAAGAGAAATTTCGCCACTGCTTGCTCCAAAGATTTTTTAAAAGACTCAATGTCGCCGTGTCGTTTAGAGCAGGCCATGTCCTCTAAAACTGACCATAATTTGGAGTCTAATTCTAAGTCTAGGCGTTGTTTATTGTAGTGTTCTTCAATCGTGAAAATTTTTTCATCGGTAAAGAAGTTATTTCAGTGCTTTTCACCTGCGTTTGAAGGCCTTTTCATCGATCCACTCTCTCTCTCTTATTGTAAAGATTGATTTAGGGCATGTCCTGTATATCGACGATAAGCACCGAGCTTCAGGTCTTGTTTTATAATACGCGACAGAGTCTTAGCGGGAATCTTCCTTTCTCGCGATAAGATTTTTTGTTTCCTAATGGGGTTTCGACGAATTCCGGCTTTAACAGCCTTTGTAGTTCTAACAGCACGCTGCCGCCCCGATCTTTTCTGGTCTACGAGAGATGAAGTGTTGTTGTATCTGTTTATAGTACGATATACGAACATACGGCTGATACCAAGCTTTTGAAGTGTCTGGAATGACCGACGGCTCCATACCCACTTTGTGCAAGGCGATCACTGCAATCCTATTTTCTTTAACACCCTATTCCAAATTGTCATTTGAAAATGAACACGAAAAAATATGTGAAATGGCGCAAAATCGAAGGAAGTTTTTAAAATAATATACGTGCTCCAAATTTTAAATAATTAAAAAGTTGAAAAAAAAACCATTTTCATTTATAACAGAACTTATGGCCAGACTAGTAATGATAAAAATTCGTTAGACAATAATTAGACAGTTATTAGGCAATCAGCATTTATTCCATATGGGTATGGGTATTAGTAAATATTCAGTACAAGCGAATTAGTATAAATGGTTATTAACTTAAGAGTTGTGTGCTCGGCAGCGGCGTTGTGTCGAGAGCTCAATTAATTCAATCCTTTCAGAAGGTTAAAGGAATTATTTCGTTAGAATTTTGTATAAATCAGTCAGCATTAATTATTACACGTTTGTTGATAAATACACATTCAGCGAAAATAGGCATTTGTGTATTTATTAGTATTAAATAAATATATTATTTAATTAAAACCCTTGAACGAGCCACTTTTCACTGATGCCATGATCAGTGTGAATGTCTTTATTCACATACGGCAATATTCTGACAAGATTATGTTTTACGCACAGCTCCTTATAAAGCAAACATCAATTTTACATAGTTCTAAGTTACCTGGTGGATACTCGTGGTAGTTGACAGTGGTGTAGTGTGCAAAAGGTGAGGCGGCAAGCAGAGACAAAGCCCACAGAACTAGCACGATCCGTAGGGCTCGTCGTAGCCCTGCTACGGCGTAGATATGTAGCGGATGACAAATGGCCAGATAGCGCTCCAAGGTGAAGGCGACAATCGTTAGAACGGAGACGTAGGAGGCCCTACACAAAGGACTTTCATTAAATCGACCGTAAAATTATAATACTTAGTGCTATACTTAATATATAGCGCTAAAACAATTTAATTAAAACCGTACAGTTAAACTTAATTCCCTAAAGTACAGAAACTTGTCTTATAAAAAAAATGATGTCATTGAAGTATACGAAAACGCTCGGTAAGATTTTGGGATGATTTCCACCCTGATAACTCTTGTTGATTGAATTGAAAAGGATTAAAATCAGTGTAATAGGCTGAATTAGTTGAGACCTGTTTATAGAAGAAAAACTCTATTACCTATAAAAACCAGTATAGCAGTACGATGGCTCAATCTGAACCACTACTCGCAGTTTATTGATCGAACGAAGAAAGAATTAGAATACAAACAATTTCTTAAACTAAAGCCTAAACTACACGCTGATAAAAGAGACTGGCTGACCCTTCCACTACTTGCTCACCCTTTGACAGTCTTCGGGACCAACATCTGGCTTCTAGCTTCGTTTACCAGTTTTCTAAACGTTATCCGTAACAACCAGTATTTCTTACCATGCTAACGTAATTATAGCGTCATAATATATTTTTGGAAACAACACAGGAGCTATTTATTGTAAACCCTAGCAATTAAATTTGTTAATAGGTAATTATAACAAGTATAATAATTTAACTACGTAATTAACGTGAATTGTTGAGAGGTAGGACTATAGTATTTCCCAGAATAATGTCATATAACAGTTACCGAATTCCAAGAATATACGGAAACTCCGATATCCATTGAAAAGCTGAAACAATAGGAAAAGCTGCCTAACTATTTCATTTATTACAATAAGTTTGTGATAACAACATCGCATTTAACTCTTTACTCAGTCCCTGGTTACGGATACCTAAAGCTTGGTACTGACCACCGTTACGAGGTGTAATGTAACATTTGCAACGAGCGTGTAAAAGTGGGTACTTTAAAGGATTCGCCAAAAAAACCGACAACCGGGTCGAGCACTGGTTTCCCCGAAACACTACGTACTGACTGATCGAATGCTTGCCGTGTAACATGTTACATTACACCTCGTAACTTTGGTCAGTACCCACCTATAAAGGCTGGCAACGCACTTACCAGCCTTATGGTAGAGTCCATGAGCGGCAGTTACCAAACAACAGTAGGTAGCTTCCAATGGCGATTACAATATTAATCTCGACGTGTTATCACATCGACATCTCTGTGCCATATCGATGTAGTTCCCTTAATACCGGCCGGTACCAAACACAACATAGAAATCTGTATGAGGAGTTACAGACTACTGGCGCAGGTGAGGTTTATTGAGAAGCAATGTGTCTTACTTTGTGTGGGTATAAATATACATTTGACCACGTTTTTAACCTGAAACCTGGTACTAGACTACGTATTGTCATTACCGGCGATTAAAAAGAGTGGCGGAGAGTTTACTGTCAGTTCTCTCTTCCTTTCTACGCTCTTGATTTGAGAACTGGCAGTAAATGTAAAATTAGAAGTATATATATACTTATACGAATAAATGCTTTTTTACTTTTGACTGTGCATTTTTAATAAAAAAAAAATTTCATTTTTAAATTTTTATCATTTATAACCAGTATTTGCAATTCATGACATATATTTTGATTTTTAACGATGCCTCATTGAATATGAGTCACCCACGCAGGTTAACATGAGTATTGAATATTATATAAAATCACATTTTACGGTACAAGTGGGGTGATGAGATGAAAATTTCTAAACCTTCTTTATAATGGCATAAGTGTTTTGGTGGACTAGTTACGCAGCTTAATCGCTTAAGACGATGATATAACTTTTTTCTTTATAAAGTTTAATATATTCTTTATAAAGAATATATGCGCAATTCGCTGGAATATATTGTGATAATTAAGACAGTTTGTTGTTAATAAATAGAAGAACAGATTTTTAATAAAATAGTGCTTGAACTTAGCTACGGTGTATTAAACTCACGTCATGTAAGTGCATTGCTTCTAAATGTTTTAGCTTAAGATGCAAAGTTTGCCGTTTACTGTTAGTTGTTCTAGAAACATTTTGCAAATACGATCAAACCATGTTCTACAGTTGAAACTTTTTAACTAGAGCTTTTACCATACATGCACTGTAATTTTAAGTATCATTAACGCTTTATTTTTACTCGATTAAAGTTGTCTATGCTGATTCTGAATATATTTTTTTTATAGAACAGGGGGCAAACGGGCAGGAGGCTCACCTGATGGTAAGTGATACCGCCGCCCATGGACACTCTCAATGCCAGAGGGCTCGCCAGTGCGTTGCCGGCCTTTTAATTTGATTTGAGTACTTTTTAATAATAGATACAAAGACTAGTTCCTCGAGTATACATATATGTGCATCTGAGTCACCAAAATATAGGAATTAGGCACCATTAGTTAAGTATTTTTTTAACGAAAATTAAACGTTGTGTTCAGATCTATGTATTGTTTGCTGCAGGTTTGCAGGTGTATGGTATTGTTTGCTGATGACACTTCACTTCTATTTAAAGTGAATAGGAATAACGTATTATTGGACGATGTAAACAATTCTATCTCTCGTATAGTTAACTGGTTTAATGTAAATAACTTATTGCTTAATGAGAATAAAACAAAATGTATTAGATTTACAACTACTAGCGTAAAGCGAGATATTGGTAACCTGAAAATTAAGGACAGTGAACTAAACTTTGTTGACAAAACTGTTTTTCTAGGCATAACAATAGATAGTAAACTCCAATGGGGCCCACACATAGAGACTCTTTCGAATAGGCTGAGCTCTGCAGCATATGCAGTAAAGAAAATCCGACAGTTTACTGATGAGGACACGGCTAAAATTGTGTACCATAGCTACTTTCATAGCGTTATGTCGTACGGCATTTTACTGTGGGGTGCTGCAGAGGTTCAATCCATATTTGTGCTGCAGAAGCGGGCTGTTCGGGGTATTTGTTGTGTTTCTCCGAGGGAGTCGGTACGGAATAAGTTTAAGGAATTAAATATTATGACACTATCTGGTCAATATATTCTTGAAGCCTTGTTGTATGTCCAAAAAAATATAAACGATTTTAAAACAAATGGTGACTTTCACCAGTATAATACGCGAAATAGAACTAATTTGAGTGTACGACCAACCAGGCTCCAAAAGATAAACCACTCCTTATATGGAAATTGTATTCGTTTTTACAACAAGCTCCCAAGCGAAATTAGAGAATTATCACTAAATAAATTCAAAGCCCTCGTTAAACGAAAATTAATCAACAAAGCTTTTTATAAGTTTGAGGACTACTTAAATGATCCTAATCCTTGGGATTGAATTGCTCCAGTTCAAACAATTTGTATGACAATACTTGGCGATTAAAAAGAGTGGCGGAAAGTTTCTTGCCAGTTCTTCTTACCCGCTCTACGCCCTTGACTTGCGAACTGGTAGTAAATGTAAATTTACGATTAATTTAACTTGACGATTCAAAAGTGTACTTGGTTACCTACTTGAATAAAGATATTTTGAGTTTGAGTTTGAGTTTGAGTATGCTCCACAGAGTACTGAACACCTCTAATTTTAGAAAAAGTTACTTTGAAGTTTGAACTAAAAAACCTAAAACAACTCAACTTAATAAATACGGTTTCAGTTTGCTGTTGACGATCAGAATTTGAATTTACTGCCTACCTTAGAATAAGGGATATCAATTTGATTCCAAAATTCAGAGACGGTTGAATGCTTTATGAACCTAACATTTCTGTGATCAAGCACAAGTCTAAGTTTTTTCGGTTGAAGACTTCCTCATTTTCTCACATTTTCCTTCGCCATATCAACAATAATTGCAAAAAAAGCGAATAGAAAGAGAAAAACGTGCAACACCGATTCAACTTCAGGTTTAAAAGTCACCCAATTCAAAAGTAAATAACCCTCTAGCAATTTTCTCATTTCATAACAATCAAACTGTTTCGTTTCTTTGCGACGTGCACCCGACGCGTTGTTCCAAACGGTTTAACCTATAAAAATCGGGAATTGTGTCAATTGTTTTGAAACACGTGAAACGCGATTGCATTTGATTCGATATACCATTCATGTATATCAAATCTACTATCTAATCTTACTTAATGGTAGGGATATGTGTATGACATATTTACGTATCTTATTCGAGATATGGTCAGAATATAAAAGATCTTACTCCTCGTAAATTATTGCGTATTGTGCGGTTCCTGGGTCATCGGGGTGCTTTAAATAATAGAGGATTTTAGTTTTATCCTATATTAACCTCTCGCGTACAACAATAGAATAAAAGCGAAATAATGAAATATTAATTGTTATAGAAAGAATTAATGCAATGTAACAGTTGAAGAGAGTTCCTACGTACATACTCTCGAAGCGTAACTGCGACGATTTAGAATATCGCTACGCTTATAAAACTAAGAAAGCCTGAGTGAGCAAAGTGTACAGCCTTGGCTCGTACACGTATAAAGCTCAAATTTGAGCCTTAAAGTATCAGCTTCAATATTCCATCCAACCTATTGTAACAATGTCGGCATATCTTTTTATGCTGTTTTTGCATACCTTTCTTTTCCAGCGCATAGCTTCGCCGAAACCTTCATTTATATGGAAATCTGTATTGAGAGTGGCTCGAAAGGATATCTTTATCAATTCGCGTGGAGAGAATTTTCTTTTATTAAATATCCATATTTTATGAATTTCTCAAATTGTTTATTTTTGGCATTACAAATAAATAATAATAGAAGAATTTATAGTATATGTTTGTTGATTATCTGTTTTTATAAACTTACTAACGGGGACTCGAGTACCTTTGCTCTTGCCAAAGCTGTCCAAGGGAATTGTCGCTGGCCCATATCGTGAAGGCTAAGAATCTTCTGGGTTTTCTCTTCACATTACCATAACATAAGTTTTTAACATAAGTTTTACAAAAAAAAACTTAAAAAGAAATTTAAAAAAGCCAATTATAGCGCTGGGGATACTCTTGACACAGACCGTGCAGTTCTTGGGCAGTTGGGCTGAAATCTTATATTGCATTTACCATCGAGAGTATTCGGAGAATTATTCAGATTAATACGTGCACCTGAGTTTTATCATCGGAAGTCTAAGAATACGTAATTCCATCCAAATCATCTCAATCGTTCCAGTACTGAGCGTTTTTTTAAGACAGTTTTTGTCGCACACCACCACTATATGGAACCAGTTACCCACTGAAGTATTTGCGAACTTGAATTTGACTTTCAAATAAACGTACCAATTCAAAAAAGGAGATAGCAGGTTCTTAAGTCTTAGATTTTGGCAATATGAGTGTCCATTGGCGGCGGCTGAGTAAACATCAGGTGATTCCTGCTCAGCTTCCTGTCAGTTTTCCCCTATTCTAAAAAAACTAAACACAATATACCCACATATATTTATTCGCATCTCGATGACTTGTCTATGGGTAATTGCTGCGTAATAGTCTGGCAAAAACCTGTAGTTGTATTTTT